TAAATTCATTCGCACATCTTCAAAAGCAGAATGATTTGCAATTTCACAAATTGGTTTTCAAAGGTTCTAATCTTTTGCCCATAGACTAATAACTTGATCAAGAGGTCTATTGGCGAGGATAAGCTTCGGGTCGATTTGACTTGTCTCAATGACGAGAAGCCCAAGACGATCGTGTGAATTCCCACGATCAAGTAAGTATCAGCTTAAACTCAAAACAGTTTGTCACAAATAAATACAAATTCCATGTGTTCTGGAGTGTTGAATACAACGGCCAAAACAATATTGTCGGAATTGATTTTGAACCAAAATTCAACCCCAAATGTCGGAATAATTGTGGTTCAGAGCAGTGTATATCTCTTGTTTTTCGTGTTCTTGGGATAATTTTCATGTGAGTATATACCTTTTCTTCGTATTGTGCGTGTCGGAGGATAGAAGCCACTCGAGACGGCATCCCGCTGGAAATAATGACAACGTCGCGATCCCGACCCGCGAGAGTTTTCGAATCACCCACGCCCTCTCTCGAGCGATGCCAGTTTCAAATGCGGTGCGTGCTGTGGTGCCACACCACGTCACAGATCCAATGGGTGCATTCATGTTGTAACGGTCGAACAGTCGCGACCTTTGGGGGCCAGCAGAGCTTTGATTATCTCGTCGCCATACCGAAAGGATGTCGAGCGCGACACTCGTGCACCGTCATGTGTTTGGGCTCAAAGTGACAGCGGCCAACAACGTTATGTACGTTGACGACCAACTTGTGGCATATCCAGCTGGCCACAGCATTGTCGTGTACGGCATGGACGACAAGAAGCAAAAGTTCATCACGTGCACAGAGAACACCGAAGGGATCACGAGCATCTCCGTGTGCGCCAGTCGCCGGTACATGTGACTCGTGGTACTCTTGTAGGCTGCAGCACATTGATGGTATGCGCTTAGTTTCATTGCGATTGCGGAAAAGAGCGAACGAGGCGTCGTGAGCATCTACGACCTGAAGACCCTCAAGAAGCGCAAAGTCCTGACAACGTCTGACTGCCTCAGCAAGACATACGTGAGCATGGAGTTCAGCACAGACAACCAGCTCTTGCTGACGCAAGGTGGCGCTCCTGACTGGGCCCTCGTCTGCTGGAACTGGTCCAAAGGGAAACCAGTGGCCACAATTAAACTGGCACCGACCGGCACAGCCTCCCCATCGACGTCGTCGTCGTCGTCGGCAGCCAATGCAGTGCCCGTTGTGAGTCAGTGCTCCTTTAGCAACGTCGACCCGTCGATTGTGTGTTGCACCGGCCTCAACATCATAAAGTTCTTTCGCATCGTTGACACTGCGTTTCGACCGATGCCAAGCAGCCGTGTCGATGCCCAAAACTTTCTCTGCCACGCCTGGCTCAAGCAAAAGGAAGACGAAGTAGTTGTCGGCACTGCCACGGGTGATCTGTTGTTGTTTCGGGTACGGCTGTGTTGTCGTGCTGTCGAAGTGTCCATAACCCGACGGGTTGGATGTTGCTGTCTGCACGGTGACATTCGATGGGATCGTCACACGGTGCTGCGATGGACTCTAGGCGGGGGAGTACATTTGCAGACTCATGGCGTCGCCCGGAGACAGCCGAAGCATCACGTCGATGGTCGCGACAAGCAAGGGTCTTGTGTGTGGCACCGACAAGGCCATGGTACGCAAGTCGACCACATTTTCTTGTTCGCACCTCGCCATCTGCCAGCCCCCTCACAAAAGCTGTAGGTGTCCCTCTATGTTGTAAATCCCGACCGCAGCACTCCTCCCGCGGATACGCTCACGTTTACAAAATCACTCAAGATCGAGAATGTGCCGTCCCGTATCACGGGACTCACCGTCAGCCCGAATGAAGAGACCATCGTGGCGGCCGTGTCCAGTTCGCAGTTGTACATGTTTCCGTATCAGACAAAGGAGTCGTTCAAGACGGAAGAAATCGAGCACTTAGTCACACCGTTCCATCGACCGGGCGAGTCGGGCCAGTTGCACGTCACGGGGATGGACGTGTGCGTGCGCAAACCGACGATCGTGACGTGCGGGCTAGACAAAACGGTTCGGGTACGTCGCCGTTCGGTTCAGCCCGTGCGTGGTGGGGGGCTCATCACTTGCGCAGGTGTGGAACTACATCGACCGCACGTGTGAAGTGCATAAGCAGTTCACCGAGGAAGCGCACAGTGTGTCGATGCACCCCTCGGGCCTACAAATCCTCGTCGGGTTTGCCGACAAATTGCGGCTCATGAATGTGCTCATGGACGATATCCGTCCGTACAAGGAATTCACAATCAAGGCGTGTCGGGAATGCCAGTTCAGGTACGGCAGCCGCCAGTATTCCCGGCAGCGGCCGTTTGATGGCGGCGTTCACCTCCGACTCTAGCACGGGCGGCCACTTGTTTGCTGCGGTCAACGGCAACACGATTCAAGTGTTTTCTATGAACACGTGCGACCTCGTCGCCAACTTGCGCGGCCACAATGGCAAGGTCCGCAGCATTTACTGGAACTACGACGACTCAGGATTGATTTCCGCTGGGATGGACGGCGCCGTGTACCAGTGGGACTTGGACGAAGCCAAGAGGGAGGGCGAGTTTGTGCAGAAAGGCGTGCCGTACTACTCTGCAGTGTGCAACCGGGAAGGTAACGACGTCGTTGGGGTGAATGCTATGATGCTCGCGTGGCTGACGAACGGTAGGGACGTCCGTTTTTGCGGTCGGGTCGGACAAGATGCTGAAGGAAATCGAGTTTCCCGCGAGCTCGGTATGCATCGTTTGCGTCGTTTCTCGTGAATGCTATGAACGTCGACTGGTTGTTGTAGTTGAGCAAAGAGTTCAACGCGGACGTGACGTTGGGCCAAATCGTGATTGCCCACTCGCAGCGGATGCTCTTTGCCGGTGCCAACGAAGCAGACAAGCTCGGGACAGTCCGGTCGTACAAGTTTCCCTTGACGGGCGAGTTCACCGAGTTCCAATGCTTGAACGGCCCTAGTACGTGACCATTTCCAGCCTCCTGTTGATATATTTGTCGCCAACGCTCGCACGCACAAGCATCTCCATGAACTCGACAACTCGCGGCTTACGTGAAACCAAATGTGATAGTAACCCGCATGCGCATTTCGTTCGACGATTTGTATCTCCTTGTGTGTGGCGAAGACGGTGTCGTATGCATATTTGAAATCCGCGACAAGGAAGGCCGAGCGCGGGCGAAGGATGGTCGGGAAAACACGGTTTTTGCTGAAGAAATCTTGGTATGTCGACGTGGCGATGGCGTCGGACGCGATGTTCGGGGGCGATAACAGCAAACGGACGGCTGGTAGAGCAGTGGCCTCACACAGCAGCGCGTTCGTAGGTGACCAAGAGCGACTTGGAGGAGAAGAATACGCTGATGGTCGAGCTGAAGAACAAAGTGGATGAGCTCACGCTGCACAACGAGTACCAGCTACGACTCAAGGACATGAACTACAACGAGTACCTGAAGGAGCTCACAGAAAAGTTTACGCACGAAATCGAGCAGGAAAAAAACAAGTACGAAGTCCTGCGAGAAGACAAGAACGACATCGAGATGGAGTACGAGGAGCGGGTCAAGCAAATCGAGGAGAAACACCAGCAACAAATGCAAGAAATTGAAGCCGACTACCAGCAACAGATCATGAAAGAGGTCGAAAAGTATCAGGACGTACTCCACCAGCGCGAGCTCCAACGAACGCGGTGGCAGCAGGAGCAGCACGCGCTTATCAGTACGCACGAACGGTACTCGATGGCGCGCTGCCGATTGCAATCGTTATTGATCGTGGTGGATTTCGTAGGTATGTGGCGGAAGTGACAGAGGACTTTGAACAGCGTTTGGACGAAGATCGCCAGTTGCGCATGCAAATGGAGGACGAACGAGAGGAGCTGCACAAGGAATTCAGCGAGACGAAGAAGCAGTTAGAAGAGGACGTCGATGAAGAGATCGAGTCGCTGAAGAAGCGGTACGTCACCGGTCCTTCCAGCCGCGCGATGCTCCGAGGCACAAAATGCCACCATCCTACGTAGGTACGAGGACAAACTGGCCGCGGAGCGGGAGGCCACACTGCGCTACAAGGGCGAGAATGGCATCATGAAGAAAAAGTTCACAGCGTTGCAAAAGGACATTGAGGACCAACGGGACGAGATCAAGCACCTCCTAGAGAAGGAGAAGGACTTGATCGAACAGATCAAAGCGCTGGAGAAGGAGATTCAGTCGTTAAAGCGGGTACAACCCATGGATGCGAAGTTGTGACCACTTGCCGACTGCATGGCCGTGACCCAAAATGGATGTCTCATCCCGTTGTCCGTGGATAGGAAATACGTGGGCGCGACGAAACCATTGGGGAAAAGGAGAAGCGCATTTACGACCTGAAGAAGAAGAACCAGGAGCTGGAAAAGTTCAAGTTTGTCTTGGACTACAAAATCAAGGAGCTCAAGCGGCAGATCGAACCGCGGGAAAACGAAATCTCCGACATGAAAGACCAGATCAAAGAAATGGACCGGGAGCTCGAGCTGTTCCACAAGAGCAATGCGCAGCTCGACATTATGATCGGCGAGCAACGCAAGCGCCTCGATAAAATGCAGCACGACATCACACGGAATCGCAAAGTGATTGGCGACCAGCAGTCTCTTATCCGACGGTGCAGTGGCTGGACGTGCGAGGTTTTCCTGACCTGTGTTCGTGATAGGTTTCGGTGCGACTTACACGACTGCGTCCAGAGCATTCAAAGTCCGAACGACTTGGCGCAAAAGGTCGCAATTTTGTACCAGAAATACGTGACCACCGACATCAACGTGGGCGACGTGGACTTGGACATCCAGCACGAGTACAGCCGGCAGAAGGAGTACCTCGAAAAGTCGGTCGACGTGCTCAAGCGCAAGTACGCGCACGACGTGACGGCGCATCAACAGGACAACAATCACGCCCGAAGCGACAACCTGGCGCTGATCAAAGAAATCAACGAACTGCGCACGGCGCTCAACGTGAGCAAAGCAACGCTGCAAAAGGACAAGGCGATCCTCGGCACGCGTGAATATTTTACCAAGAAGAGCGGCGCCGACGAGGACATCAACAAAGTAGTAGAGAACCAGCGACAAGAGATTGAAGGACTGCGACGATCCATCAAGGCCATGGAGGAGCGCATGGACTCCGCGCGCACAGGCGGCATGCTCCCTCCCATGCGTGGTGTCGATGGGTGACTTGTTTCACATGCCTGAAATGTACATCTTTCCGGTTAAAAATGGCATCGGTCTGTTCAATTTTCCGGAGAACACCAACAATGTGGAGTTTCGACGCGGTGTCTAGCGCCGCCACGAGCATCACACGGCTCCCCTCCCTGTAGGACAGCCGATGCCGCTGTTGAACTCTATGGCTGAAGTACATGTGCACCCCATTGTAGGCCGTGGCATGGAGTGTGAGCATTGCAGCATCGCAGTGATGACGTCTACAGCAACATCGGAGACTCACGGGATTATGTACAGCATGCAGAGGATGACTCCACGTCAACATAAATGAGCACATTCAGGGATTTAGAACGTGTACGACTGGAGACCTTGGGGGGACGTGACTCGGTTCTGGGGGATACTTGAAAGCGCTCGCCTCGCTTCGACCTCTTCGTCGAGGCACACATGACGCGACCCGTACACACTACTGCTCCGACCGTCGTACGACAAACTACTGCTTCTGCTCGCATCGTAGGATGGAATACTACTTCTGCTCGCATCGTAGGATGGAATGCTGCTTCTGCTCGCATCGTAGGATGGAATGCTGCTTCTGCTCGCATCGTAGGATGGAATGCTGCTGCGGTCAAAGCTCAAGTTGCTGTTGCGCATCCCGTCATAGTAGCCGATGCTGCCTCGGTCGATTGCTGACAAGGGGTTGTCTTGGTTTGGCGTTGGGCCAAAGCTCGAGTTGTTGGTCATAAAAGTCGAGTTGTTGGTGACGGGTGGAAGGTATGGCGCGGCTTTTCGAGCTGGAGCCCCCCGGTACGTCCCAGCGGGGTTGATGCTGTACGGAATGGGTTCCGATGCCCGGTCGAAGTATTCACTTTCGCGGTACCGACGTAGTCGGTTGCATAGGTACAGCGCCAACAAGAACAAAAACACGGCACTGCCGACAATGGCGGGAATCACCCACCCCGCGATCCCGTTGCCAGCGTCGACGACGGCCTTGGGGGTTGTCGAGGGTTTCGACGTTTCGACTTCGATGGGATCCGCCGTTGGGCTTGGGGTTGGTTTTGTTTTGGGGCTCGTGCTTGGCATGGGCGTGAACACGGTTGTTGTTTTCGGGGCTTTCGACGGCTCCGGTGTTGGTTCTGGTGTTGGTTCCGGAGTTGGTTGATCCGTTTCAGGTACGGCGGTGGTGCGTGTCGGGGTTGGTTTCGGGGTTGGCTTGGACGTCGGCGCAACGGTCGTGGGCTCTTCCGTCGGAGCGGGTGTAGGTTCGTCTGTTGGTGCTGAGGTCGGCGTGGCCGTCGATGGCGACGGCGTCGGTTTCGACGTTGTTGGCAAGCTCGTCGGAGACGGCCTCGGCGTGGCGGCGGGTGTTTCGTTGACCAGTTGCAAGGAACGATATGCAAGAGTAATGGTGTTCATGTCGTCGGCCAGCGCCAGCGCGGCGGCAGTCAGTACAGTCACTGCAAGTCGCCGCATCGTGCGTTGTGTGCGTCGTGCAAGTGCGATTCGAATGTGTTGCTTACATCTGGTACCGTGACGTTCATGTGCACTGGAAAATTGTACCGTACACTAAACACACGCCCTGTCAATTCCTGCACATGTGCAGTGTATTTTAATATTCGGTCGACGTGGACATGAGCACACGGCAATTGCACACCATGCAGGCGAGCTATTGCAGTCACAGTTGCTTATGAAGTGATTCGACGACAGCAATGCCCGCTGCGCTGCTCCAGACAACACATTGTGGATCGGGTTTTCGTCAAAGCAGAGGTGCTCGAGTTAGATTTATAGGCGTTCGAATTGGAATGTGGTCTGGGACAGCTTGAATCAACGACATGCCATGGCAAACAAACAATAAAAACTTCCCCTGTCACGGAACATGATTGATCCTTTTCAAAGTTTCGTTGCGAACACTTCTGGGAATATGGAATTGATTGCCGTGAGATCGATCAAACGGCCGCATGGGTCGGTCATTCTTTACGTTTTTAAAAACCTTCGCCCGGCAGTAAGAATGGCAGGCACAGGTTCGAATGGAATCATGCATTCGTTGTCGCTTGCGCAATTTACGTTTGGGCGCTCGTTTTGGTGTAGGTCCAGTCGATTGTGGCTTCTCGTTCGGGTGGTCGAACTGGCAACTTGCGTTACGTACGTCGTATTTGGCTTTCATGATGGGACACTCCGTCCATTTCAACTGTCGCCCCATACGCTAGGTACAATTAGGACTCGGAACAGCTGCGCTGGTTCAAAAAGCGCCTCAAATCCACCATCCCCCTCCCCCCAGACTCCGGCCATCCCCTCGCCTTGCAATATTTAATTGACTTGCCAAACCGAATATTGGACTATGGTCAGAAAGACACAAAAAAATCACTTGTATGGACAAATTCTAAAGTATACAAACTTCAATGTTTTGTACTCCGGAGCAACGTAGATACTAGTAATTGATTGTTTTTGGACCACAGAGACAGGGTTCACAATAAATGCACTCCCGACTACTTTTTGTATATATTGGAAAATATTGGAATATCAATGTACTTTGCGTAGGCCTATTCCCCAATTCGGTGGCAATGGTTCCTATGCTGGCGATGTGTCAACCAGGTCGAAGCTGAACCTATTTTTCGTCTAGCAAAGCAATGTCATGTCCATCTGTTTCCCTTGTCCCCCTCTCCAAGGAACGAAAATGGTGGATTTCTACGACGAGGGGACGTCCTCACGCCACCAACCGAGCGTGGGGCACAACTGCGTGAGCGGCCATCGTACAACTTGCATCGACCCTATCCATCTATTCATGTAATTCCTAGTTATGAATCGAGAGCCCGCTGTTTTACTGCGCCGTCTCCCCTTGTAGGTTTGAATCTGCTTCGGCGCAAGTGCCCGCCCTGTCCACTGTACCGTAAAGCGATGTCGACCACAGTATCCGAAACACAACCGGATGACAGCATCAAGTTGATCAGAATAACCTGGTGCACGCCATGGCGCCTGAGAAGGACGCGACGGGGATGTCCCTCAGAAACGGATGGCGCAGTGCTTCCTGCGCCGTGATGCGATCCCTTGCGTCTGGCTGCATCATGAGTTGAATCAGGTCTTTTGCGTGGTCCGAGATGTGAGCCCACTCCTGTGGATGGAACGAGTACACGACGGCCTTGTTCAGCGCAATCAGTTCTTTGTCGTTGCGGCCGAAGAACGGCTCGTATCCACACAAGAGCGTGTACAGCACGACGCCCGCCTAATGATGTCATCACACGCATTTAGTCGTACAACACGACCCACCGAAAACATATCCACGTGTGGGGGGTATGCCTCATTGACGCCGGCCAGAAGGATCTCCGGCGCCACATATCCTGGAGTGCCGCAGCTAGGGCAAAACCATGTCTCAACGATTTCGTCACTGCCTTGACATACCGTCCACGGAGCATCCCATTCGGCAGCAGAAACGCTGCCATTCCAAAATCGGCCAACTTGAGAACGGGCGACCTATTGGCGGGTAAGACATCGCTACCAGTCCCTATTTGCGTACCGTTGGGCGGCACCAAATTCCGTGCCCTCGTCGAGTGCCAAGTTGGACAGCTTGACATCACGATGCACGACGCCATTGTGAAAACAAAAGTCGATGGCTTGGACGAGGTGCGATATGAAGACGGCGGCGTCACGCTCGGCCATGGGACCTTTCTCTGCGATCCGGTCAAACACGTCGCCACCGTGCATCAGTTCCATCTCGATCACCTGCCGCCACCACACCTGAGCTCCCAGTCACAACATGAAATGAATGTACGCACCAAGTGATCGTGCGTCTCAAACAGAGAAATGACCTGCACGACAAAGCTCTCATGGGTCGATCGGCTGCGCATGGTCAGCACAGTTTGCGTCAGCACTTCTCGAAAAAGCGTGTCGTTGCGCTCAATGCCATCTTCGACGAGTCTCCTACACCGCGATGATCATGATGAGGGCGATCTGATGCTCCCGTTTGGGACCACCGACCAAAACATGGCCTTGTCGATGATCTTCAGCGCACACTCAGACACACATGCCGACGGGACCTTTCGCCGCGCACGCTTGACGACGGAGAACCGGCCTTGGCCCAACTCGACGCCGCTGTCGTCCGAGTACAAGTCAGTCCACTGAAGTCGACTTGCCCGGGACAGAGCGTGCAACCACTACAGTCATTTATACGTAGCACCACGGGAAGATTGAATGGAGGGACAAGGTCCACCTTGGGGCCATCTTCCACCGCGTCAAACTTCCACGATGACACAGCCCATTCTTGCGTCCGAAGCGCCGATGCCGTCACGGCCACGGTGAGCACCCCATCGTCTTCAAGGGCCATTTCGGCTTCGCTCACGTTGGCAAACCCAATCGGCCGGCACGCCGACTCGTCCAGGTACTCTACCAATGTGTTTCGATACAGCACCATGAACCGCCGCACCCACTACGAACACACTCGCCACTGAGCATCTACTTGCGTGCACGTTGTGGGTGACCGAGGATGTGAGGTCGTACCTGCGTTGATGGGGACGACTTGGACGACCGCAAGTACACAAATCCCTTGGTTTCGAGGTCATGGGACCAGCAATGCACCGCACAAGAAGTGCCTTGCTTGTGCATGGCCTGCATGGACAAATCTAGCGGTAGTTCCTGAAGCGCCGAGAGGACCCAGACATCGGGCCGACGCTCCGCTGCCGTTGCCTCCAGTGACGGCAAGATCGAGTGATGGTTGTCGTCGAAACTGGGCGACGAGAACGAATGCGACCCACCCTCTTCTTCGGCAATGCTCTCGTACACTGGAAGCGGCGCCGCCGTGTCATGCGGATACGTCATGCCTCGAGCATGCACGCCATGAACCGAAACTTCATCGCCCAAGTACGCGTGAGTACTGTTGGACGCGTTGTCATTGTGGTAGTTGGTGTATACTTTACGAACAAACGCGGCCTTTTCGTGCTTGGGCGTCGACGCTTGCGGCAATTGCGGGCAGTCTATCGTCATGTGGTCTCCGCGACAGTTGCCGCACGCGAGCCGCTTGGATTTCTTGGACGACGGAGGTGCTGGAGTCGACGGCGGTGGCGGAGGAAGGAGAAGCAGCGGGCAGTCTGTTAGGACGTGTCCACCACTGCAATTCGAGCACACGTTCGCGACGCAATGGGCCGTGGCATGACTCTGGCTGTGGCAGTGATTGCATGGCAAGTTCTTCATAGGCTGAAGCAACGGACACATTATTGTCATGTGCGGTCCTTTGCAAGTGTTGCAAACGGGGGTGCGCTTGGAACTGCTGCGGGATGATGCTGACGACGTCACGGCAGTTGACGGCGCTGGTGGAATGGCCACCACATCAGGATAACCTTCGACCATCGGTGAGGAACTGGCTAGCGCCACGGCGTATATAGGCGATGTTACGGGAAGAGCTGGACTTGATGCCGTGGTGTCGGTCGGTAGATTATGAACACTGAACACGCATGGGTGAGATATCTCGTGGTGGGGAATGGAGACTAGGTCAAAGTACCTGATGTCGCCGTCATGATGCATGCTCGTGACCATGAGCTTCTGGAAAAGCGCGTCCATCTTGTGTTCCCACACTTTATACGACAAAGGAATGGATTCAATTGCAGCGGTTGGTTGAGTACTGGACGCTGTCGGCGGTGCTGTGGAGAACGTCGACGACTTGGATGCCGAAGACGATGGCTCTTGTTTTGTCTAGATGCGACGTCTATGACCATGATGAGTGTGTGGATCCAACGAACCGGTTTGGATGAAGAAGGCTGGACGAGCTTGACCGCCGTGTGTGTTGCCAGATGCCCTCGCATGTGGATGAGTTTGAAGCACCCGACACAATACACATCATGGCAACACCCATTGCATGACAAGGTTGCCGACGCCAAGTTGCAGTAGACACACTTGCGGGACTCTCGGAGGATGTCGTCGTACGGGTCGTCGACCGCGTCGGTCCGCGCGGCGAGTCGATTCAAACGCTGCATGTGCCATAGGCGCCAACTCGCATTCTCGAGTCGATTTCCCTCACTTATGAATCGCTTCATTGTCGAGAACGATTGCCACGGCATCCGCACGAAGTCATCCGGCCCTGCCACTGCGCTGCCCAGCATGATCGCGCCTTGAGTTGCCTTCAAAGACGAACGCGTTGTCGTATCCTTTTCAAATTTCATGAACTACATACAAAACAAAAGATAATAAAATTCAATTCCTGTTTTCCCGACATCACACACTAATTACAATTTGTCAACACTATTTCCACCAGTTTTCTGTCGTGCTGCGCAAACATGCCCTTGTCAACATCAACAGTACTCGTACGCGTCCGCCATTTTCCCTGTTGCGTGACTGCATACTCTAGGTTGTATCGCTGTCTGGCGCGAGCTCCATAGGCCATTCTGCAATCCCGACCCTCCATCGACGTTCTGTGGAGACACCCTGTCTCGCTCAAGGGGTTTCGATTGGTGGAACATTCCAAAAATTGCAAATGATTGGCTATTCTGTCAGTATTTAAGCGAATCAAATCACACTACAAGAACTGGTTGCAAGATGACAGGGCCATCCGACACCGCTCCGGAGCCGACGGCTGCCGCTGTTGCCCCCACCGCTGCAGAATTGCTTGCGAACGACCGCGCAGTATTGGATTTTGCGAGCGAAGATGAAGAAACTGAGGAAGGAGATGACGAAGAAGGAGAAGAAGTCGACGAAGAACGACCGGCCAAGCGCCAACGCCAAGACCCTCCAGCAAAAGACACGTCCCGTCAAATCGAGATCCCTCGCAAAGCAACGTTTACTCGCGCAGACAAGATCAACAACTCGATCATGCGAGTCACTGGGAACAGCGTCGACGGAGGTTTTTCCATGTTCAACACGTCGTCGTCCATCCCTATGATGACTGTGTACAAAAAAGAAATTGCTGCCGCGCGCAAGCTCCTGACTGCCAAGAAGCCCCAAGAGGCGTTTTGTATTGCCATGGCAACGTATCTGAGCATGCAGGACTATGACGTGTGGTACCATGACACGGAAGACCATCGTGGTGTCGAAACGCTGTTCACATCGTTCTACAAGTTGTGGAACGACATCTTCAAATCCGACGACGACACCATTGGCCTGAAAGGCCGCGACGTTTTGATCGGTGAGCTGAGCAAGTTTGGCAAGAGGGCGAAGGATGATCACAACTACGACTTTCCTTGGTTTGCATAGGCAGGGTAATGCACTCGAATGTCCACATTGAGACCACCATGACTGAGCATTCTTACGACATCGAGTCGTTGACGCTTGGACGCATCGCTCCTCGTGCACGTGGAATCGTTGCTGGGACGATGTCGGACCGGCATGTCCTTTGCCCATCGTGCAGTCGAGGGAAAAACACAGGATCGCCTTCCCATCGACCTCGGTTTCGTCGCGGGGTATGCTGCGTAGCTGCAATCTCGATCGCCATCTTTCTCAATTTTCGAGCCATCTCGTCCATGCGTGCATAGGTGGCCAACAAGACCGACGAACCTGACTCCCATTGCTTTGCTACGAGTGATTGGGGGTCGTCGTCGAGTCTGCTCCCGGAGTTACGTACTTCCAGACTCGAATATCATGGTCAAAGGTTGTGTGCACAGCTGGCCCCCTCCACCACGAATGCCGCTATGTCTAGTGATATTTCACCAGGAACTTTTCTTGATGTCCAAGAGCGCACCTGGCCGCTGAAAATTTCGACGCCCGCCTGCCTACCGTTGGAATGTCAAGTACACTTTCGGTTCTGGTCGATAGAAGCAAATCTCCCCCTTTAGTTGGGGTGGTGTTTGTTCTCGTGGGTGGCGCGCTCCGGTCGAAGTCCGTTCCTACCAACCCAATGTCTCCCTCTTCCACCCGCTTCCACCGCACATAGATGGAGGGCACTCCATGACTCGTACACTTCTAACTTCACAAAGAAATGCCACCCCGCGCCATACCATCGTGCAACCGGCAGCCGAAGTCAAATGCCCTATAAAAGTACACAACTCGACAGCCCATGTATTTTTGAAATTATGATGCATTCTCCTCAACAACCATTCGAAGATTGCGATGTCATTTACGCTATTTTGTACAGTCGGATAGGTAAAACACCCATCATCCATCAGGGAACGACACTATACAAAGTACAAGTACATGATATCATATTGGCCATTTTCATGGCCCAGCTGGTTGATATAGTCGTGCAACTCGACCAATACATTCAAATCGATGTTCGCCTAGCCCGTAACAAGTGTTTGCGTTGCCTGGATGTATGCATCGTTTCTTTTCCTAAACCCTGCGTCACTTCAAAGTTGAAAGGAAACACAAGGCAGTCGTTCAATATCATGTCCACCATACTCCTATGGTTGTGCCGAATGACGTCGCCACGCCAAGGAGTAGATGCAAACACAACATTATATTCCCGCCTAGATGTTTACGACACAGCGATGATGCACACCGTACGAATGTACTTTTATAGGGTAATAATTCGTGACGATCTTAGCCGTCGAATATTTCAATGTCGCACTTTATCCCATTCGCATACATTTTTCCATATAAAGTGGTGCAGGGACGAAGTTGCAATTTCAAATCACGTATCTTTGTTCTGGCTCCACATGCTGACACCTTTGACGGGTAAAATTTCCACGCGGGAGATCGGCGCGGCACTTGGACATCATTGCACAAATTCCATCGCATCTCACAAGCATGGTGAAGATCAGCGCACTCTTCGCCGTGGCCGCCACCGTCGCGGCCTCGGCCAAGATCTCGGTCCAAGTGCACCGCAACTTGGAAGTGGCGAAAACGTCCAACGTCGTCGTCAAGTTCCACTGCGGCCAAGCTCTGACCAACCACCGCCGCCGATTGAAGGCAGGCGCGTCGCGCACGGAGACGATTGAGTCGCTCGTGCAATCGTTGAAAGAGCACACGGACCAGTCCCAGGCGAGTGTGAAGAACCTATTGTCCACGGAAGTGGCGGCGACGTCGAACAAGGTCAAGGTAACCACGACGTGGATCGACTGCTCCATGTACATTGACAATGCGTCGGACGACCTCGTCAAGAAGATTGCGTCGCTGCCCGAAGTCAAATCGATCAACGAACCGGTCGTGATCAAGCTCGAACAACCCAAGAAATCGGATCAACCCGCCGTCGTGGCTGGTGCCAACCAGTGGGGCGTCGACATGATCAATGCGCCTGCTTTATGGGCGACTGGGACCAAGGGCGACGGCATTGTCGTCGCCAATATCGACACGGGCGTTCGATACACCCACGAAGCGCTCAAGTCGAACTGGCGCAAGGAATACGGGTGGTACGACCCGTACAACAACACGGACATGCCCGTCGACCCGTGGGGACATGGCACGCACACGATGGGCACCATGGTGGGCACGACCCAAGGCATGGGCGTCGCTCCCAACGCCAAGTGGATGGCTTGCGTCGGGTGCCCCGAGAACATGTGCCCGGGCAATATTCTCACGCAATGCGCGCAATTCCTTCTGTGTCCGCATGACAAAGATGGCAAGAATCCCGACTGCAGCAAGGCGCCGCACGTGATCAACAATAGCTGGGGCGCATACAGCACGTACTTTTGGTGGGAAGACACGATTGCAGCGTGGCGCGCCGCCGGCATCATTCCCGTCTTCTCGAACGGGAACAACGGGTACGACGGATGCGGCACGGTCGGGTACCCTGGCTCGTCGCCCCAAGTGATTGGCGTCGGCGCGACCGACAGCACGGATCACTTGGCGTACTTTTCAAGCTTGGGCCCGGCGGTCACGTACCGCATCAAGCCCGACATCTCGGCCCCCGGCGACTGGGTGACGTCGGCTGGCAACTACGACGACACGGGCCTCTCGACCATGTCCGGCACGAGCATGGCCGCGCCGCACATCTCTGGCTCCATCGCGCTGTACTTGTCTGCCCACAAGAACGCCACGTACGACCAAGTGTACACGGCGCTCACAAACAACGTCGACACCGACACGCTGATCCCTCCCAACAAACGGTGCGACAGCATTCCCAACACTGAATACCCGAACAACCTGTTTGGTTTTGGCCGCGTGAATGCGTTCAGGGCGGTGACGGCTCCGCCGTCGACGCCTCGCCCGACGCGCCCCCCCACGCCGCCCAAATGCTCGTCCTGGACACTCGACTACGACTACGTCGGCGGCGACATCAAGTCGGTCTCGTCCCGCGACTTTGACGACTGCTGCGACGAGTGCGACAAGACGCCGCTCTGCAACGCGTACACGTTTACGTGGGACAACAGCGGGACGTGCTGGCTCAAGACAATCGATGACTCGACGCCGTGGGCGTACAAAGTGGGCGCTCGATCCGCCAAGCTCGTCAACCCGACCAAGCCCCCGACCAAGTGCGGCACCCTCGAAAACAACACAGACTACCTTGGCAACGACTTGACCTCGACCAAGCAAACGCAGCCCGACGCGTGCTGCGCCGACTGCGAAAACACCCCCCGATGCAAACTGTTTGTCTGGTCCAACTACCTCGGCGGAACGTGCTGGCTCAAGCACACCAAGGGAACCAAAGTGGTGTCGAATGGAGCCATCGCTGGCCAGTTGCCGACGTCCGCCACGTGCACTCCCATCGAAGACAACGTGGATTACTTTGGCAACGACATCAAGTCGACGAGCCGCGCGTCGGCGGACGCGTGCTGCGCCGATTGCGACAACACTGCCGGGTGCAAGCTGTTTGTCTGGTCCAACTACAATGGCGGGACGTGCTGGCTCAAACACACGCAAGGCGTGAAATCCACTGTCATGGGCGCCCGCGCGGCCAAGTTGGTCGCGTCGCCAACGTGTGCGGCCCCCGAGACCAACGTCGACTTTGTCGCTCAAGACATTGCCGAAGCGCCAGGCGCGCAAGCGGCCGACTGCTGCGCCGCGTGCCATGCCAACCAAGCGTGCAACGCGTACAGTTGGTTCAACGGCATGTGCTACTTGAAGGGTCGTCGCGCCAGCACGATCTCAAAGACGGGAGTCGTCTCGGCCCGCGTCGACAAGTGCAGTCCGCTCGAAGTGGATGTGGACTACGTCAACAACGACCTGTCGAACGTGTCGGCGGACGTGGCGGACTGCTGCGCCATTTGCCGACAAACGAGCGGTTGCCGCGCGTTCAGCTGGTTGAATGGCGTGTGCTACTTGAAGAGCGGCAAGGGGGCGACGATTTCCAAACCGGGGGTCCAGTCGGCGACTGTGAACTAGGTTGTTAACATCGTGTTATAAATATCTGCATGACCACACACCCACCCGCACACGTCCGCCTTTGAACGCGACTTGCATCGGTGCTAGCGAAGTTGAGCGGCGGGTGGTGTGGGCAAAGGAAGAAAGACCTGCACCGAGCGTGTGTGACGATGTTGCTTCAATCGGTGTGAGTCGAGACGGAGCTGGGTCTGCTGCAGGTGCACGAGTTTTTTCACAACAGCACAAAGACACACCCCACAACCCCCCAGCCGAAAGTGCCCACTACTCGTGAGAAGCTTTGATCTCCTTCACGCTTCTGTGCCGCACGATGTTGCTGTGCATCGATGCCGACCGAGATCGTCCAAGCTCCAGTGCATTCTGCCACGACTGGTTCAAAACGTGGAGGTGCATCATGTAAGATAAAGTGTATTCTGCACCTGCGTCGCCACGGTGCTCGTGTGGTTCGACCATGGTGCAGCGCCAACCTTCCATCCGTCGTCGTGTGTCCGGCCGCATCGATATGGTCACCCCTTTCGTCTTGGCGGCGCGATGCCATCATCCACCAATACTGCTGTCTGCCCACTTGCCCTCGGCATCAAGCTTCCCGCGACAGCGCGTCGTGCAAGATCGTCACGGTCGTGCACCGACCGACACGTACAATGTGTTCACTACGATGGGCATGCGCCGGCACTTGCACTTTCGAGACTTGATGAACGTGTACTCGTTCCACAAGGGGGAGCAGATTGACGCGATTGCACGATGCGGTCTGTCGCGCATGGATCGACCACAAGCCGACCCAACTCAACCACGCCGTTCACAGATGCAGTGGACATCACGTTCAACGTGTCGGTGCCGTCCGCCTCGTGCCGCCGCGGATGGATCCGGCGCGTCGGCCGAACCCCTTGCGGTCTGTACGAGCTCTCATTTGCGCCTTCCTGCCATGCAATGTCATATCTACGGCTAGGATAATTCACTTCGGCATTGCCCGGTGGAGGTGTCGGGCGATGTCGTGGGGGTTGGTTGCGTGAGTCGCACGGAATGGTTTTTGTACATTCAAACGGAGGCACCGACGCTGGACGACCATCGACACGCTTCTCGGAGTCCTTCTAGCCCAAGTCGTGCTTCACCATCGCGAACGTGAGGAACGTGTGGCGTGTCGCTGCGTGCCCAAAATGCACGCGACAGATGCATGACTGGGCGAGGCAGTCCGTGCCTCGATTTCTACCCAGGGCACATACAACACAAGGGGGCCACGTAT